CCTTTATTGTCAAAAGATTATCTAGCAGATATTGTTCATGTGGAGACAATAATGTTAAGGGCAATTGTATGACACAGTTGTGCGTTTTTTTCTGTTTCCTGTGGAGGAAATTGGAAAATAAAGATAATATTGAATAAAACATTATTCGTTTCATCTACAAATGTACTGGTGACAATGACATCATTTGTCAAATAAGGAAAATTTGTGCATTTGTGTTAGCTTAGCTGTTAATGGCTTTTAGATAAATTGCAGGTACGTTTATGATGATGGGCATTTTCGGATCAAAAGTTCATAAAATTAAAAGTTAAATCCATTATAATTTGAATCATTCTAATGTCTGCTTGCCAATCTTTAATATAAAATTGTTTTTATTTTCAATTTCCACGATTTTCCTCTGTATAACAGATTAAAAATCATTTTTATAACTTGACATGAAATGTTCATATTTGTGTGGGAAGACCCTGAAGGAGAGGGTATAATTTAAACTTATATAGATCGTTATAGAAAATGTTAAGAAATATAACAACAAACCGAATGAGGTATTACCTTAAATAGCATTCGGCGACACAAAAATAACAACAGGAAAAATCTAGCTGATAATGAGAGTAGTGTTAAAATTGGAAGTCACGAGTACCGAGAAAGTTTACATCGCAAGGAAAAAAATTATCATCAATGTTGCCAAAAAAAAGAACAATTAAAAAAGCAGTAAGTACGGCCCTCTACCATTTGGAACGAATTAGGAAATTTTGAAAAAAAAATAAATAAATAAATATATCCATTAAAAATTCTGTTAAAATCTTAAAAATACCGAATATCGGAAGGTGCCGATATATGGGAGATATACGATATTGTGGACCTATATAAACAAATCTATTTCTGGGGTTAAAGTACTTACAAGGAACTCCTTGTGTGAATTTTCAGACAATTGAAAAATTTGGCTAAAATCATAAAAATATCGAATATCGGGAGGTACCGTTATATGTGTGCTATACGACGTCGTGGACCTATATAGACCATTCTCTTTCAGGGGGTAAAGGAACTCCTTTTGTAGTATTTCAGACAATTCCGTTGAAAAAAAAGTGGCTAAAATCATCAAAATATCGAATATCGGGGGTACCGTTATATGGGGGCTATACAATATCGTGGACCTATATAGACAAATCTTTTTTACCCCTGAACTCCTTGTGTGGAATTTCAGATAATTTAATTGAAAATCGTTATATATACGGGGCTATACGATGTCGCGGACCTTTATAGACAATTCTCTTTCAGGGCGTAAAGTACTCACAAAGAACTCCTTCTGTAAAATTTCAGGCAATTCCATTGACAAATGTGGCTAAAATCATCAAAATACCGAATATCGGGGGGTACCGTTATATGGGGCTATACGATATCATGGACCGATATAGCCCATCTTCAAACTTGACCAGCCTGCAGACAAAAGAGAGACCTGTGCAAAATTTTAGCTTCCTATCTTACTTCGTTTTGACTGTATCGTGATTGCAACAGACGGACGGATGGACGGACAAGGCTAAATCATCTTAGAATTTTACGCTGAATATATATATATATATACTTTGTTGGGTCTAAAATTATTATTTCGATGAGTTACAAACTGTATGACGAACGTAATATACCCTCCATACTATGTATGGTGGAGGGTATAAAAAATAGAATGGAATGGAATGTTTAAAAGTAGCAGTAGCTTACGTGAGAGTGAGTAAAGTGAGTGAGTTTGACTTTCGGATTTACGAAAGTGTGCATATTCCATTTGGAATTTTTTTCCTTTTCAATTTAATTTATCCGTTTGTACTATAAAAATATGCAATGCAAAATTGATTTTTCTATCAATTTAAAAATGCAGGGCATATATTTTTGGAGCACGTATTTTATTGCAGGATTTTACTGAATGTCGTTCAAAAATTGTTCTGCAAACTTTTTATGTGAAACAGATAATTCTCTGAGTAGAACTTACTAAGAAATTTTTACTGTGATATTTATCGTTCACACCAATTACTGTGCCAAGGATATGACTATTTAAAATTAGAGAAAGTTTAATGGAGGAAGCTCTTTTGCGAGAGTGAAAAAAGGTTTTGTCTTTCGAATGGAAATAGGAAACAATTAAACAAGTCAAGAAACATTAAGTTCGGACGGGCCGAGCTTTTAATATCGGGGGGTACCGTTATATATTCTCTATAGGAGAGTATGGACCTTGACATTCAATGTTCTTCCATCAGAGCGAGGGCCCACTATGAAATACAAATTTCTTGACAAATCGCTGGCAAAAAAAAAAAAAATGAAAAAAATCATTAAAATACCGAATATCGGGAGGTACAGTTGTATGGGGGATATACGAAAATGTGGACCTATACATACAATGTTTCGCCACCGGGTCTAGAACCCATTATAAACTACAAATATCAATATTTAGAAAGCCGTTGAAAATGAATTTTATGCGGTGAAATCATAAATTCGACATCCGTCTCGGATTTCTGGTAATGAATCGCTGACGTGTATCCAAAGTTATGAGAGATAAAATATTGAAAATTGTGACCCTTTCTGGGTGGGGTACCAGCAGGGGTTCGCAGATATACACATCTTCACAAAAAAACCTTTGTATGTGTGAAAAGTGAAGGAATTTGGATGATTATTTCGCTTTCTTTGAGCGTTTTGTTGTTCAAAATCTTGAACCCGATGTATCCCATCTTCCCAGCAGATCTTGTGTAAGTAAAAATAATGAGATGTGTGAAATATGAAGAGAACCGGATGCTTATATCGGATTTTATAACAGTTTTGGTTATTCAGAACTTTGACCCTTTGTGGGGGAGGTACAACAATAAATGCTCCAGTAAAAACTCTTCATTTTTTTAATTTTTTTCCAGCGGTAGGTATTTCAACCCTGTACAAAATACTTTGTACATACTTTTGATTGCGGTTGAGGCGCTGGGAAAATCTAGCAATAAACAATAAATATTCTAAAATTAAATATTTCCCAGCCGCCATAAAATGAACAATTCGGTGATCTTGTGCGCTGACGCATACGATAATGTGGCAGATAATAAAGGTTATGACCCACACGCACAGATATCGATGCGCTCAGTAGATGCACAAGACCACTAGAATGAAATTACAAGCAGCCCTGGTATGTTCTCCATTCAATATTAGAATAGATAAGAACAATTGTGTGGCTGCGACTAGGTTAAGTTAGATTAGTTTCAGTAGTACGTAAGGAACATGAATTTTAAATAAAAACAGAATTGAATCAACAACCAAACCGTTCGGTTGGTTTTCCTTTCTCACTCAACCCTGATACCGGGAATTTTTTTTTTTTTGAGGGGTCGGACGGACACCAGATTTTTTACCGAAAATCCGGGTTCAAGTTACGACGGATCCATTTACCCGATATAGACAAAGTAGGTATCGTTGGAAAACTTATGAAAATACCTATCCAGCTAGTGGGGGTGGTGTGTGGGAAAAGGTATTAGGACAAATCGTAGCCTTTCGGAAAGGTAAGAGTGTCAACTATAATTTAGAATCAAATTTGTTGACCCCCTTAATGGGCCCTTTTTCGACTTTTTGGGTTTTTATAAAAAATCCGGGTTCAAAAAAATCGATAATTTGACCTAACCCCATTGTCTATATCGGGTAAGTGTATCCAGGGATATTTCCAAGTTTGGACCAAATCGGATACTCCCTTCGAGAGTTATCGTGCGCACAGGCCAGACATAAAATATAACGGATACACTTAGATAGACTGCAAATGTCCTGAAACGGATCTAAAACCTTTATTTCAATGAGGCACGTTTTGGCTGTATTATATTATATATACCCTCTCTAGCCATGAAGTATAACTAGCCATATGGTTGAGGGTATAAATACGTGGAAAGATATTGAAATGTTTTCGTACGGCAAATTTGTATCCGATGAGAACTCAGAATGCCAACAGAATGTCTATTATTTGAAAAACCAAAAGTCGGGAATTAAATTGGGTCGATGTTAAATAGTTTTTTCAATATCAGAAATATTTGTGGAAAGACAGGTTATATTATTTGGAAACCCGACTTGCCAATTTGCTAATAATTTTATTACAAATGCATCTAAATTCTAGAACATAATTAAAATCAATGGGTTCCATCGAATTGGAGCTATACGAAATAATGTACCTATATGACAGTTCTGTGTAAAATAAAACCCGAAATTTCAACACCTCTCCAAAACATTTAAACTACCGAGAATCAGGAGATACCCTTCCATTAAGTCTATACCTAAACATGATCAACATCACCATTTTCCATATCAATCATCCTAAACAATACAAAGCTCCACATAATATAATGAATGATATTTTAAAAGATATTTAAAAATTTCAAATTTAAAAACATACATCGTTAAATCGACTCAGAATTTTATGCTAATCAATAATATATACATATATACCCAGAATATGTCCATGGAAAAGGATATAAAATGGTGTTTCTATAATTCAGTTCTATGGTTTTTGAAGTACTTCAGCGGAGTTATTATGATAGCAGATTGGAATTGTTTTAATATTTTCCACAAGACAAGTAAGTAGGCAATACTTCCAACTCCTCCTCTATACTCCTCTTAATTCGGAAATTTTGTAAAAAAATAACTATTATTTTCTCGGACTACACCAAAATCATGAACCACAACTATTCATTTTACGTAGTATTGGGTCAGAATTTCTTGAAAAATCTCTTGGGATGTGACACAAATCAATAAAATAATGTTATTAAACGTCCATTATAATTGTGAATTATGTTTTCTCTAAAATCAATTCTTTGTGTTGTAACACTCTTTCAGTTGATGAGCGATTGGTAACAGAGGGGTGGAATAATTCTTATTGAATTATTATTTAATAGAACACGAAGCATTGAATTATGAGTCCACAATGCAATGAGTATTCACATATAACGTATATCCAAAATATTATCAGCTTTAAAAATAGAAATATTTTCTTTTCTAGAAAAATGTCTTACATTTTGTTTTTTTGGTTGTTTTTGCTGTGGATGACACTGCTCCAAATGATAAGAAAATCCACAGGTGTCTTATCTTTATGATTCGCTTATCAACAGTCAATCGTTGTTGGAACTGATTACTGTTGGCCTCACTCACTTCACATTCAAATTAAACAAATTATTCTTCTCCACTTTCTATTTTTTCGAATTTTTATTTTTTTTTTGTTTGTCAGTTGCTCTTTGGCGCACTCGTTTAATTTATTTGCCTCTAATTGTTGTTTTTCCGAAGCTACTCGTTTTGAACTTGTTTCACAATTCTTTTGCGACTTTATTGCTAATTTAGCCAATTAAAGCAATTGCACTGGCTCTCCTCCTTAGGTGGGATAGCAGCTTCACATTAAATCAAACGAATGGAGCTGACTGCAACACAAAATGTGCACGTTTTCGTATCTTGAGCGAGTTTCTCGTTTGGGCTTTGGGCTTTGGCTGTTGTCACCGTCGTTATAAGTTTTCCACATAAAAACACGTAAAAGACTAAAAAACTAGTTGTCCGTGTGGCTTTGCAAAGGCCATCAAACGTTGTTGTTTTGCCTTAACGCAAATCTGCTGCGCCACTTTTGGTAGTACCAGAGCGGCAGCAACAGCTGCAGTCGTCCGTCAGCCATAGCATCTTTAGTTGCTGATATCAGTTCGCATCTACAGGTAATAACAACAACAGCAGCAGAAGCAGCTGTGGCATTCGGAGCTGCAGAAACATCAACAACATAAGATCTGTATCAGCAGCACCACCAGCTAGAGCTATAGAGCAGAGCCGTTTTGTTTTTCGTTGTTGTTTGTTTTTCTTTCTTTTTTTGCTAGTTTCATTGTCTTCTCTCTTTGTAGTATTTCCTTTGGTATAACGATGAGATACAATTAATTTTTCAAGCAAACAATTTAGCAGATAATAGATACTATCAAAATGACACTATAGTTGTCTACTATTTGTATGTACATTTCGTGTATCTAATGCTAAATCAATGGACATTAGGGTGGGTCGAGGGTTCACAACATATCCTTTTTTTCAATATGCTGAAAATTTAAACTAATTGTATTTTGTTTGCAACTTGAATAGGGATAAGAAGACGTAGAAAGAATTACAGTCAATGGGGAAAATTTCAAATTTCGTATTTCCAACTAAAATATTTGACAGTCAGAGACCTACAAACAATTGTGGGATATGGTTATATGGGAGAGAGTGTTGTAAAATTTAATTAAAAGAGATTCTATATATTAAGGGACATTAAATTAAAAGACATTATACCTACTATCATATAAGGGTATATTTGTCAGGAAATTATGGCTGAAATATTAACAAGTAAAAAACATTAAGTTCGGCCGGGGCGAACTTTTAATGCCATCCACCTTCGGGTAAAGGAAACATTTTTATATAAAAGTATCTGAATTCAAGCGTGTTTCACTTTAAATTTCTTATACCAGTAAGACCGTTTGCATAATGCAGTTAAACTTATCAAAAAAACCATAAAGTGCGTGAGGCCGTTATATGGGACCATACCAAAACGGGAACCTCTATAGAAAATTTTATACATCAAGGATTGTCATCTATCAAATCTTCTAAAATACCAAATTTGAAACCATTATATGTGTAAATGTGACTAGGGTTATCAAAATACCGAATATCGGTGGGTATTGTTATATGTGCGCTATATAAATATTCAATGTTCTGCCACTGGGATAGAACCCTTTATGAACTAAATATATAAATGTTTATCAAAATATCGAATATAGACAGGTACCGTTATATGGGGGCTATACCAAAACGTGGACCTATATATACAATGTTTCGCTACGCGACCTAGAACCAATTATACCCTACAAATATACATCAAAATACCGTTTAGCCACACGAGCTAGAACCCATTATACCCTAAAAATACAGATTTGTAGACAAATCCGTGAAAAATGTGGCAAAAATCATCAAAATACCGAGTATCGAGAGGTACCGTTATATGGGGAGTATACCAAAACGTGGACCGATATTTCACATTTTCAATACCATCCTAGGCACAATACAAATTGTTCTTCTAAATTTTGAAGCTCTACATCAAATAATGTGGGCTGCATAATGATTTCAACAGACAGACCAACATCGTTAAATCGACTTAGAATTTCATGCTGATTATGAATATATATACTTTATGAATAATATACCCTCCTTTCCTAGGTGGAGGGTATAAAAATATGGGAATTTAGGAGGTATCTTTTAAAAATTATTCTACATTTGATATTCTTGATTAGCAGAATATGTATATTTTTTTGGAAGTATTTCGATTTCTTGTAAGCTGAATAAGAAATTTAATACAGACATTTTCCAAATAAAAATTAGAAAAACAAAATTGTCGGAGCTCACCTATTTTGGGGGACCTCCCGTAAAGATGTTAGTACAGATATTGCGATGTCCTTAGTTTAAAGAGAATTTGATATTTTTTGAGCAAATCATATTGACATGACCGATTTCGCATTTTAGGAGGAACGAGAAGCAGCAGCAATATTTTCCATGTTCGCTTCTTACTTCAGTTTACTATATAAGAGGTATAATGAATCAAAATGTTGATACTTTTTGGGAGAGGTACCAGAAGGTGTCAAAATTAAAAAAAAAAAAAAACAAAACAAGAAAAAAAGCTGTAAAATCGGCTGGGCTGTCCTTTGAATACCCTCCACCATTTAAAACAAATTTGGCAATATTAGTCCTTATAAAGGCATTACAATATTCAAATGCGAAACTTGAAAACATTATATGGGAAATGTGGAACTGCACAGACAATTTTCTTCCTAAGGCTGCAGTATCCATTACGAACTTCAAATACCAAGTTTTAAACAATTCCGGTGAATAATGTGGCTAATGTGAATATCGTGAGGTACCGTTATATGGGTTATGGCTATAGCAAAACGTGGACCTACATGGCCCATTTTAAACACCAAAAGTCCTGCAGATATAATATACATTTGAGTAAAATTTTATCAATTTACTTCATTTCGTTCGGAAGCTAGAGTGATTTCCACAGACGGACAGGTGGACGGATATCGCTAAATCGACATAGAATTTTATGCTGATCAAGAATAAACTCGATCTAAGTTTGATTAGAATATTACAAGTTTGGACCAAATCTTTTCGAGAGCTATAGTGAGTATAGAGAGACAGTAGCCTTGCCTACAGAACATTGGAGAGAAAGTCATTTGTGAAGACTCAGTACTAATCTGATGGGCCTATATTGGGTCTAATATATTGGGTCCCTTTTTTAAAAACCTACACCACTTTGCATATTTAGTAGAGCTCCCGTAACAAAAAGAATTTATTTCAAGTAGATCATACCACCTATCAACATTTGGCTTCAGTGCAGTTATAGTTTGCTATAGAGTACATGATATCACTTGGAGAAGGATTATATTAAAAAAAATATATATCGGAGCCGAGTTGCACAAAATGGAAACGTTCGTCATGAAATTCACTCCATTTGAACCGATATTAGCCATTAATTGTAAAATAAACTTGAAATCGGATTAAGGATATATATGGGAGCTATATCCAAATCTTAGCCGTTCTCGATAAAATTTGGCAAAGGTATTTCCGAGCTCTATAAGATATGTGGTACCAAATATCATTGATGTCGAATGCATATTACGAATTTGAGGGGCTTAAACACCAAATCTAATGAAACATATATATGGGAGCTAATTCGATGTACTTGCTTCTAGACTGAATTCGATCGGATGTCTCCAAATTCAGATCATTTCGGCTGCTATTGGCCATTTAATGCACAATTAAAATGAAATATGTTAAAGATATATTTCAAATTTGAACAGATCTTGATACAATTTAGCAGAGATATTTCTAGGCTCTATCTGCTATTTTGTACCAAATATCATTCTATCTATCTATCATTCTATATCCTGTAACTCATTACGAATATGAAGGACGTAAAGACCAATTAGGATGAAACATATATATAGGAGCTAAAGCTATATATGAACTGAATTTTACTAAATTTGGCGTAATTGCTTCCATCTTGAATTCGGCAAGATTTACCAAAATTTAGGCCATTCATACCAAAATTCCGGTCATTAGAATGATATTGGCTATTTGGTGCACAATTAATCCGAAATCGGTTGAAGATATATAAGGTGAGATAAAAAAAACTGCAACAAAGTCAAACACCATCATTTTTAAATTTGTTTTAAATTTTATTGAATGAAAGCAAAAAATGTCGAAAATAGCATCAAATTTTAAAATAACTTTAGATTCGTTCGAATTGGTCACCTTTGGCACGAATTATGGCCTTCAAATGGTCAATGAAACCGTCACACCCTGCCCGAATGTTGTTCTGCGCTATTTTGTCCCATTCCCGGTGAAGCACTGGCTTCAGGTGATCCCCATTTTGGTACTTTTTAGTGTCAACCTTGATTTCAAAATATTCCAGACACAATAGTCCAACGGATTGTACAACAATAAATGCTCCAGTAAAAACTCTTCATTTTTTTAATTTTTTTCCAGCGGTAGGTATTTCAACCCTGTACAAAATACTTTGTACATACTTTTGATTGCGGTTGAGGCGCTGGGAAAATCTAGCAATAAACAATAAATATTCTAAAATTAAATATTTCCCAGCCGCCATAAAATGAACAATTCGGTGATCTTGTGCGCTGACGCATACGATAATGTGGCAGATAATAAAGGTTATGACCCACACGCACAGATATCGATGCGCTCAGTAGATGCACAAGACCACTAGAATGAAATTACAAGCAGCCCTGGTATGTTCTCCATTCAATATTAGAATAGATAAGAACAATTGTGTGGCTGCGACTAGGTTAAGTTAGATTAGTTTCAGTAGTACGTAAGGAACATGAATTTTAAATAAAAACAGAATTGAATCAACAACCAAACCGTTCGGTTGGTTTTCCTTTCTCACTCAACCCTGATACCGGGAATTTTTTTTTTTTGAGGGGTCGGACGGACACCAGATTTTTTACCGAAAATCCGGGTTCAAGTTACGACGGATCCATTTACCCGATATAGACAAAGTAGGTATCGTTGGAAAACTTATGAAAATACCTATCCAGCTAGTGGGGGTGGTGTGTGGGAAAAGGTATTAGGACAAATCGTAGCCTTTCGGAAAGGTAAGAGTGTCAACTATAATTTAGAATCAAATTTGTTGACCCCCTTAATGGGCCCTTTTTCGACTTTTTGGGTTTTTATAAAAAATCCGGGTTCAAAAAAATCGATAATTTGACCTAACCCCATTGTCTATATCGGGTAAGTGTATCCAGGGATATTTCCAAGTTTGGACCAAATCGGATACTCCCTTCGAGAGTTATCGTGCGCACAGGCCAGACATAAAATATAACGGATACACTTAGATAGACTGCAAATGTCCTGAAACGGATCTAAAACCTTTATTTCAATGAGGCACGTTTTGGCTGTATTATATTATATATACCCTCTCTAGCCATGAAGTATAACTAGCCATATGGTTGAGGGTATAAA